CCTGCCACAATCCTGCAAGTTGCAAGCGTGATAGGTTGGGGCGTTTAAACGTATTCGACCCGGTCACGGTTGCAGTCGCCCGAAAGCAGGGATCTCCAACATCAGGCTTTTTTGTTTTTGTTTTTGCATTCGGGGTGCAGGGAACGTTGGGAGGGGGGGGGTGGGGTACAAGCTTTTACACGTGCGTAGTTCGCTCATGCTTGTGCCTCTCGCTGTCTGTAAGCATGTCTATCATAGGGGGGGGAGGAGGGGCGCGTGTCAGAGTAGACCAAATGAAGCTACCAAGGGGGGGTGGGGGTGTTTGTGTGAGCGGAGGAGGATGCCAATAATTAGCTACCAAGCTTGCAGCAACCAGTGTCCGTTTGTTGTCGGCCCGATTCTAGCACGAGTGACGTCTTCCAACGCCGCTCGCTAGGAACAACAAAAAATACGATGGGCGGACGACCGGGCGCGTGAGGTGTGGTGTGCGTACCGTGCCGTACCGTACCGTACCGGACCGTACCGGAAACCATGTTGTAGGGGATGGCTTGGCTTGGCACCCGCTTGCTCGACCTTGGCTTGAGCGTTGTCGTCGTTGATCCTTCTCGTTTTGACACCCTCATACGGCGAGGCTTGCGGCGCGTGCCTTTGGTTCTTCGTTTTTGAGTGCTGTTTGTGTGTTGCTTGTTCGAGTGCATACGGTTTAGGTTAATAGGTTGCGTTTCGTTATTTTCGCCCTGGTTACAGGGGCGAAGGATCCCAGGTCGGATCGGCGGCTATTTATGCCGCTGTGTAGCCTAGCAGGTGCGCGAGCGTCCGGGAAATTATGAAAAAGAAGGAAAACAGGCGATATCGGTTGGTGTTTGTTGTCTCTTGGGGTCGGCCGTTTCAAGTACGCGGGGTTGATTTGGTGTGTTTGTTTTCCCTCGAATGGGTCTGATTGACCACTTGATTTTCTTTCCTTGTCATTTGTCGTTGCAGTTTCCGCCCATGGAAAAATGTGTTGGTTGTAGCCGTGTGGTGTGTTGGTTGTTGCCCAAGCTGCTGCCTGGCCTGGTCAGGGTTTTCTTGCTTGGGTCTGAATTGGGTGAACAAAGTTGGTCGTTGTTGTTGTTGTTGTTGTTGTCTCGTCGCGTTGGAGGAGGTCTCGAAGGTTTGTAGATTCCATATTTTCGTGCTCTTGTCTCGTTCGTGTATCGCCGGCCTTGCATGTTTTGACGAAACGTCTGAGTGACAGGCCGGGTCTGTGTTGTGGTGTGAGTGGCGTGTTGTGTGCGTTTCTGTGTGTAGTACTCGTGCCTTGATGCACTCTCTTGTCTTGGTGCGGGCCATTTCACATGCCACGTGCAACATTTCAGTGTTAGCTGTTGTCGTTGTTGTAGTCGTCCAGGACCGGTCAGTGATGTCATGCATATCCCGAATCGTTTTCTTTTCTTTCTTTCTTTCTTTCTTTTGTTCTAGTCGTCTTTCTTCTTTTTTTTGTTCTTGTCATGTGAAGGAAAATAGCAGGGCTTGGTTGACGTTCAGCATGTATCGGTTTCGCACGTCTTGCCGCGATATAGTTGTGAGTTTGCGTGGGTGTTAAGCAGATACCACATGGATGTGTTGATAGGGGTTCTCCGCAGAGGGTTACTGCGCTCTGCTGTGTGTGCGGCCCTGAAAAGAAGAAAACGCGTGGCCAACGAACACGATGAATAGGCCAGGATGAGTGGATTAGTTTTGTGAATGGTGGGTCAGAATGAATGAATCGAGCACAATTAAATTTCTTTGATCCAGCATTTTGTGGTTTCTATTTTTTCTTCTCGCCGAACGCTTCACTACGCCTGCCAGGCGCCGAAGTTAATACAGTCGGTGGTTGTTGCTCCACCGCTCTTTAGGCCCCAAAGACGGCATCTTTCGTACATGGCATACGGCGCACAAAAGCTCCCGCTCTCTCTCTGATTGGCCGAAAATGCTTCCAAGTTGTGCCTCCTCAGCATGGGCGTTGCAAGGAGTCGAAATCCACAATGTCTTGCCGCCCTGCTCCCATCGTGTGACAAGTGGCCGCGACCGTCACCTTTTTTTCTTGCGCTAAAACTGCTGTTACATATCGCTCGTGAGTAGAGTTGGGGGAAATTTCTCCTCACAGGTGTCACGTTTGCAGAGGGCCCACACCCTTCAGTCTGTGGAAGGCGATTCCCTCCCTCTTTTCACACGGCCATGAAAGTTTACATGAACGTTTACACACGACAAGGACACAGTCGTGGACCAACAGATGGATGGAATTGAGCTATACGGCAGAAGGGCTGGGCGTGACCGACTTATAGCCGGCGTCATGAGTGACGTCATAATTCAATGGGAGTGCAAGAAAGGTTCTTCAACCTTCCAGCGTGAAGTTTTCGTCGGAAAAGGCTCGGGGGGGTCGCGGTTTTTTGCAAAAGTGTGGGGGGGGGGATCTGAGACGAGGTCCTCCATCAACATTACCTTGAAAATTATTCACATACATGCATATTCTCTCCGTTGCTCTGTTGAGAAATAAAAAGGAACCTCCCTAATCACTTCTTCTAATAACATTTTCGATGAAGCGAGATGACCCACACAGCAGCCGTGCAGTGATTCAGGCAACTTGAGACTACACGGGTAGCGTTTACGGTGCCTTCGTCAGAACTTGGGGATCATCTTGATAAAAAAAAAAACTTTCAAGAGCATTATTTTCCAAACCGCCTGCTTTAAGAACAAACAGTCTTTTGTGGCGGTAACCTTCTGAGCCGATGTGGTTTCAATTCTGGGCGCAGTCAAACGAACTGGGTTCTTTGCTCGACATACGCCCGCTCAACGAAGAAAACGTGGGGCAAGTGATTCATTACCGTGTTACCCAACAAACATACTCGACGTTACGGGTAAGGAGGTGAAGGAAGGAACGAACGGCTGAACACCCCGCTTCGACAACTAGTTCAGTCAATAAGCTCCGTGAAGCAGAAGGATCGTGAAGACACAAGAACCTCAAGCGTGTCCTTCCTCCCGTGATACCGAGAACGGGTGATGCAGCCAGACAAAACGACGACACGCACAGACAAGCGCACCTCTCTCTCTCTCTCCCGCCCTGCCGACACCGTTATTGGTCTCAGGTTGGAAATTTGGTCCTCAACCTTCGTTGTGACTTTGAGAAAACATGGTTCATGCCGCTGATAATAAAAAAACAGAAGGAAAAATAATGCCTGCTTCCTGGTGGGTGCTTGTCCAACATCGGGACCTGACTTGACAGAAACCTGGGAGTTGCTTCGACTGAGTATACTATTTAGCTCGCGGAGCAACTCGGGACCGGCACAAAACCCACAAAAACCGGTGCTGTACCGTCTCGCAGCAACGGGGGGCAGGTGCTTGTTCGACGAAAACCTAGACGAGGCTGTGGCCAGGCTACCTGCACGAAACCACGAGCATATCTTGGCCCTCGTTGTTGTCGGCTTTCACGTGCGACAGCAGTGTAGATGCACATGCCCCTTGGTTGTTCTGACGTACACGGGCGAATACTCGATCTTCAAGACATCAAGCGCCCAACAAAATCATCACCAAGCAAACAAATGCAATAGAGTATATTCCACACCCAGGAGGGGCCTACCGCACCACACCCGCCCTCAGTATAGCCGCACATCTAAACGCGAGCTTCCGCTGTGCCTACGTGGCCGTCACTGTCGTGGCCCACCCCTGCCACCTCCTCCGCCCCTTCGCCAACAACAAACACGTGTCCGTGGTGTTCCCGTACTTCCCAGGCCAGGTGCTCCACTAGGCCGCGCGTTCCCCCCAACCGCTGCGGCTTCGGTATCCGGGAATCGAGGCTGTACCAAGCCGTCCCCCCCGCTCCCCCACCGTCGGAACCGCAACAAGAGCCTTGGTTGCTGCTGGTTCGGTTTCGAGTTCGGCCCCGGTTGTCCTTCCCTCTCCGTCTCGACGGACTGAGCTTCTCGAAGCAGCCCGTCTGCTCCCCGTCGTCCCCTTCACTTTCGCCGTCAGCGCTTGCACCCGTACCAACACCAACACCAACACCGACACCGACACGTTCGAGATGTCTCGTCGCGCCTCCTCCCCCCGCCGGTGCAGCTTGCGGGGCCCCCTCTCCGCCTCCGGGGGATAATCCGTCGTCGCCGTCGCCGGGACCCTTCGCCTTGACGATCGCGTAGAAGTGGTGGGTGACCCAAGAGCCCCAAAGGAGGCTCCGGCAGACGAAGTTGACGATCACCCCCCGGATGGTCGCCGAGTCCCAGTCGACCCGCGCCAGCGCGAGCTCGAAGGCGGTGGGGTCCTGAGATATTGATGATACGGCCGCCGGTCGTAGTTTATTGGTCAGGATTTAGCGCCGGGAAAAAACAGTTGGTTGGCGCGGGGCGGGGGGCAGCGGTATAGGGGGGGGGGGGGGGGGTACTCATGTTTTCGCATGCCTTCGCGGTTACACCATTGACCACGTGTCCTCGAGAGGACGGAGCGGGGTTCCCACAGGACCGACCGCCTACGGCCACTCGTTCCTTCCTACTTTGCCAAGGGTGCCCCAAAATGCTTCCCCTTGACTATCTATCCTATCGATATCACTTCCCGCCCTTTCAGCCCACTTCCCAGCAGGAGGGGGCGGGGGGGGGAACAGGCGTGTGACCTGCCTACTCCTGAGATAGACTCCAACGGAACCGGAGCAACGTTCTTACTATTGCGGCAGTCGTTTCCGATCACGATTCTTACGTGTTCACCCGCACCAGCATCGTGCCTCGAGTTTTCATGGGCAGGCTCGCCGGCGCACAAAGCATGACATGGCACAGCAGTGTTTGCTTGCACACATGTCCCCAAGGCGCATCGGCGCGATGACCGTTTAGGCCGGTCGAAACGATGTACGACTCCGCAAAAAAAAGCAAGAAAAATAAATCATAAGTTCATATGAGAAAAACCAGAAGTTTTTTTCCCGGGGTTTGGCCGCGGATTCTGTGACGGAGTAGAAAAAAAACACGCCGAAAAAAACAAAACCGCTCCCAGTTTTTTGTTCCGTAAACACGCGCCGGCAAGGAGCCGAACGGTTGCTTCAGAGACCTTCATGGTGCCCTCTGGTTTTCTTGTTCGTTTCACTTATTGTTGTTGTTGTTGTTGTTGTTGTTGTTGCCACTTACAGCATTCAGAATAACTCGCTCGCCCGCCTACAGTACCTGTTACTACCTTCGCATCTCCCTATAATAGAGCAACAAAGCGATACACCTCCAAGTCGACGCGGGCCTGCAACTGTACCTCTCACCTTTGCGTTGAACACGACGTGGAGAGAAACGCGGCATTCCCTTAGCTTCAAGGCTTCTAGGACGACGTTGATATCGTAGTCCCCAACCATAGGTATCACTGACTTGTACGGATTGATCAGCAGGCGCCTGAGGCCTGATTCTGACCGCAGAGTCGCCTCGCGGTTGCCCCTATGCGGCAGCACCAGCAGAAGCAGCACCGGGACCAGCACCAGCACCAGCAACAACAACACAAGCAGCAGCAGCAGCAGCGGACATAGAAAAATTCGCCGTTGTTGTCTTGTTCTACGACAGGGTTACCAACTTTCTCGATTGCACGTATTCGTCACGCTGAAGATGAAAACGACGGCAGGGTTGCACCAATAGGGCAACCCTTGCTGCTTCCGACACTACTATTTCCCACCTAAATACCTTGTACCATAAACACTTTTTTGCACGTTTCACCCCACACCGGAGCGGCGACAAAAGGGCACTGCTATGTCTCAGCTCCGTCACTAGCGTTTCGAAAAAACAGCACAAAAAACTTCCACTATACTCCGGGAAAGGTCCAACACTTCAGCAGCAGCAATACCATCAACAGCCACGACGACGACGACAACAACAACAACAGCAGCAGCAGCAACAACAAGAGCACAGCAGCAACAACAACAACAACAACAACAACAACAACAACAACAACAACAGGACCTTATTCTAAGCGTTGCCACAGCGACAGCGTGCTGTCTCACAATTCAAGGGCGAGGCGTTCCATCAGCTCTCGGTTGGCCCAGGGCTCTTGAAACAGGTTGTTCAGCGCGTGCATGGCGCACTGCATGAGGCGCTGCCTCTCGTGGTACATGATGTTAGCTGTCTCTTTGCCACTACAGCAGTAGTCTACACCTGCTGCAGACCAGATCGATGTCGACGCAAACCGGGCAGACGTGTAACGATGCAGAGAGGAAAGTTGCAGCAGCAGAGTTAGGTGCACGGACTGCTGTCCAACGGCTGGAACCAATGGGTGGTTGGAGTAGCAGCACAAGACAGCAGGGGGGCTACAGCGAGAGGTCACGGCAGAGCTACAATACTTGCAGACTACATACATACGCATCCATACACCGACTTCCCGAATAAAAACGAGCTTAATCACCGCGCACACTTCTGCAGAATAAGGTAAGACACGTGTCCATCAGTGTTAATCTGCTTCGAGTTGTGCAGTATGCATCGGCAACCATTGCAAAGCACAGGGGTAATTGGAGTACTTGCTGTCAGCAATACCAAACGAGACGCCCCGGGGGTGGGAGGTGTGCCGCGCCAAGCACCGCTAAGCGGACTATGTGACGGCGTATCCCGATAGCTCTTACAACGGAAAAGCGCGTGGACAACAGCACACGTCCTGTCTCTTTCGCATGCCGTGCGCCCACAGCAAGGCGTGGTCTCACGAGGATCCCCCCAGGGGAGTGGGTGTTGAAAGTGTAGACAGCACTCTGGAGAGGGGACTATGAGCTTCCGGGCACACAACGAACCTACCGCAAGCTCGACGATGCTATGCTCGGGGTGCAGCACCTGTTTGCCAACTAGGCACATATCTTGTGCTTCTGGTCTTGGTGAGCTCTTACCTGCTTGGCGAGATGTGCTTGGCGGGCGCCTAAGCTTGTGTGCGCGCTCGATGTTGTGCCATCAAGCATCCGCCCATCAAGTGAGTTGGAGACGGGCGGTGGGCGGCGGGCGGCGCAACCCAGTTGGTTTGGGGTTCGAGAACCTAAAAAAAAGGTTCGCGATTCGAACCTTATATTATGGTTCATCCCGCGCAATCAGCGCGCAATGCGCAATGAATTGATGCATCGCCGTTCGGGGCGGGAGAGACATATATATATATATATATCTGAAATGCGCTGGAACGAGTATTCTTTTGTGAGTTCTTGGGAATCCGCAAACTGGGCATTTCTAATGCATCTCATCGCTGGTTCACCTAGCTTGCTCTTCGCGAAAAGCGTCCACGAACAGCAGGCAGTGGAGCTCCCAGCTGCGGCGGCAGTATCTCCGGGGCGGCCCCTCGTCATGCGCTGCTCTGAAAAATTAAATAATGATGGCTCGAAGGTGTCGCTGCTGGGAGACAAACCTGCTCCCACATCTATTGATCGATATAGGCTATTCTATTAGTCAGTCTACTTCAACAGTCAGTCGCTGATTGTTGAAGTAGACTGACTGATGGGATTAGCCTAAATCAATCAATGCTAATAATGCAGAATGGAGGACCAAGAAACAAAAGGGAAGGGAGCAGTCCGCTGCTCCTAGCTTCGGATACTCATAGTTTTTTTTATTGATCTCTTGTTTTGGCCTTCTTAGACCAGGTCCGCTCAGCGCTCACTCGGAGAGTGCGAGCGTGAGGCTGGGATTCTGATCCTCCTTCGAGCGATACAATCTGGAGCAACTACGCTGTACACGTCGACCCCCCCCCCGGGCATCAATCCCATCCGTCACAATGCTTTTGCAGCCATTGGCATCTACCGACTAGTTCCACGATGACTGGGTATACGCTCTGATGTCCAACTGCCGTGTCGGCTTAGAATCATTGGTGGCCGTCCTTCTCTCCCAGTGGTCGGTTTGGGAGTTTCACACAGTTCAAAATGATCGATTTACATCCGCGATGCTGGCATGATACGGGTGGTGCCCACTATGTGTGTGTTTGGGTGCGCGCAGGTGAAACACGTAGGTGCTCTCACGTTTGGAATTGCCGCCATTGAAATGTGAGATACCCCAAAGTGCAGCTATATCGGGTCGACATTGTGACAAGATATTTTGATGCCGTTATTTCGGCAATTCTGCCATTCATTCAAGTCGGGGCTGTATCCTTCTGGCGCTCATACAATGCTAAAAAACTGCTCATACATATTGTAGCTGCTTTACCATAACATACGGCGGTATTCGTTTCGGCGGTAGGGACGGTGTCACGTTATTCGGCAGTAACGACTCTAGCGGAGGCGGTAAAACCTAAATTTGACGCTGGTTGTTCGGCGGTAACACCATACCGAGTGCGGTTGTACCGATTTGGTGGTAGTAGTTTTTTGGCGTTTTTTGGCGTAGAAGACTTTGGCGGAGGTGGTGTGAGTACATGTATACAATAGGTAGCGGTAATTTTCGGCGGTAGTGCCATAGACTCACGACGGCATGTATTGGCGGTAGGAGATTTTCGTGCGTGGAGGTAGATTGGTCGGATTTGACACAGTGGTGTTAGCGCTATCGACTAAGGTGGTTTACTCATGCTTTAGCGTAACAGCAACTGCTAAAGGTTCCCATTCGTTTTGGCTAGTTTCACGGGGATGTTAACATTTGAGTCAAGGGGGAGCTAGCAAGGGGGGTCGAATCAAGGTGGGTCTAGCAAGGGGGGACTCATCAAGGCGGGTCTAGCAAGGGGGGGCTAGGCAAGGTCTAACGATCTACCTTCTCATGCACAGACCCACAGATTGGTTGTTCTTAGCAGTTGGTCAAAGTTCCTTCCTTCGTTCTTGGCCGTGTTAAACACCTCAAACACGCTGACACGGAACCCTGGAGGGTTTCCTTCAATGGTTCAAGTACACCCTAATGTATACCCTCGCCCTCTTCAAACCATCGCGAGATGGAATGAATCTCGTATTTAGCGCCCGTTCATGCTTCCGTGACAGTTGTACCGATACTGGCGGTTTCGTATATCTGTTATAGGATTCAGATGTGTAGACGGAACATAGAAGAGCTTGGTTCCTTCTAGAAGGCGCGGAGAGATGTAACTCTCCGCGGAAGGATAAAAAGCAGGGGACAGGATCTAATAGCCCCTGCTTGTGCAGAGGATCCTGTGCCCCTTGGTGTCATTCCTACCGATACCCAAGGCAACAGCTACTGCTGCTGCTGTTCTACAAGAGTAACAACAAGTGAGTTCTTCTTCACGGGTCAACCAGACTTCATCACGCGTGCATATCACTACACTTGGCGTTGTCGGCTTATTCGTACGGTGTTGTCTGGCTTGGTTGTGTTTTGGCGCGGTTTGGTGCTTTAGGCTGCTGCTGCAGTTTTTTGCGCTTTCGTCCCAACCACAGTTTAGCTTTGCCTCGCTTATCGGTATGTCTCAATCTAGCGGACTCTGCTTCGGCGAGTCCTGAGCATTCGGAACGTTCGCGTTCGCCAGTGTCATCGCCCCGTGTAGCGACCTTCGGGTCCCCAGCAGCTGGCCGTCAGGCCACACAGCTGCTGCTGTCTTCGGACGGTGCTCGTGCCGCTGACCCTGTTGCCGATGCCGCTCGTTTGTCAGAGCTTCGCGCTCAACGCATTCGGGAGAGGTTCGCCTCGCCGGCTTCGACCGACGCTAACCCCGTGGGTGCTGTCCTCAAACCGCCAGCACCCACACCTGGAACTTCGGTTTCTGCCTCTGTGTCTTTGGGTGTACAACAGCAGTCCGTCTCGACGGCTGCTGGTGATGAGCTTTCTGAATTCCCGCGTGAACCACATGTCGACTCGAATTTTCCTCTCGCCCCATCCACCGTTGAGCACCCTGCTCTTGGGACCGACATCGGTTTCGACCATGTTGCTGGCCCTGTAGTACCACGCTTGTCCAGTCGCTCGGCTTCTCGCAGCACGTTGCAGTTCGACTATACAGTGCCGGCGATTCCCCCTTTTTCTTCTCGTAGCGATCGTGTACAAGCAGCGGCTCGCGCTCAACGGCTTCGTGACCGTCGTGCATCTGCTTCAGTGACATCACCGCTTGCAGATTCCGCCGCATCACCAACCACTGTTCCAGTAGTTTCGACTACACGGGCGATTTCGATTGCCTCTGGCACACTCCCCACAGTAGCCTCGTCTACCCCAGCTCTTTCGGTTGATTCTACTGCATCTGATCCCGTGGTTTCGCCCACACAGGCCATTTCGATTGCCTCCGATGCTTTAGCTTCAGTAGTTTCGACTACACGTGCAGTTTCGACTGCTAATGTGCCTGTCCCTGCGGTCTCGACTGCTGTAGGTGTGTTTGCCCCCATCCCTTTAGCTCCGCCGCTACCCACAGTTTCGACTGTTCGCGGTGCTGCTGCCTTAGCCGCCCCACCTTTGCGTACCGTTTCGACGCTGCGTACTGCTGTGACGTCTGCCCCCCCACATGCCTATCATGTTCCCACTACTGGTGCACCTGTCTCTGCGGTTTCGACTGCTGCACGTGTACTTTTGCCCATTCCATTAGCTCCGCCCCTGCTCACAGTTTCGACTGCTGGCGATGCTAATATTCCTGCAGCTCCGCCTCTTCGCACCGTTTCGACCCTGCGTACAGTGTCGTCTGCCCCTTTCCCCGCCCACACTACTTCCACACAGAACCCTGTGTCAGCGGCTTCGGCTGCTGTAAACACCGCTGTTTCTATGCCAGTAGATATGCCTCTGCTCGCATTTTCCACAGATTCACGTGTTCACACGGCGGGTTTCGATCCTACCGTTTCGACCGACTCTGCCATGCTAGCTCCTGCTTCGGCGCCCCTAGCTGCGACCTCGGTTGTTTCAGCAGTACCCTCTGCCCCTACCCTTTCCCCTTACCCTTACGCCGTGCCCCCACCCCCCCCCATGCTTTCTTCTTCGCATGAACGTGCTGCTACGGCTGAGGCTTTGCATCGTCTCGAAATCGCAGAGCGCTACAATCGCCATCTCCACGGCCTTCTTAGCACCATGGTGACCACGACTCCGGCCCCCAAGCACGAGCCGACATCTTCAGTTCGGCTTTCGACTCCCGAGCTTCGGGATTCCGCCACCGGCGGCGGAACAAGGTCTGCAATCACCGGCCGGCCGGCCGAGCCTGTCCAGATGGTTCTACCCCCCGCGGCGTCGGCGACTTCGGCCACCATCGCTGCTTCG